GTATTTGCAAGCTATTTTTTTTCCTTAGTTTAGTGTATCGAGCACCAAACCTCTTCAAAATGTATATCAAGTACATAGGTGGAAACAAATTTTAATAAACAAATACGATGATATGCGCCAATAACAGCGTATTTTCTAGACAGATTAGCGTACTTGGTAGTAATACCAATATATGTTTTATTTACTCAAATGTTTATGAACACTTGGATGGGTAAGAAGTCTGTAGCTTAATACCACAAGATTTGCTATGTTCCCAAGTGTTTACCAGCTATATTTCTTCATGAATTTAGTGTATCAACCCTCCCCAAAATGCCTATCAACTACATACAGTGGAACCAAAATTTAGTAAACAAATATGTTGATATGGGCCAATAACAGTGTATTTTCTACACAGATGATAGATCGGCGTACCTATAATAATAATACCAATAAATGTTTATCAACACTTGGATTGGCAAAAATTTTGTAGCTTATTACCATAAGATTTGTTATGTTCCCAAGTGTTTGCTAGTTATATTTTTTCATTAATTTAGTATACCAACCTTCTTCAAAATGTCTATTTGGGCTGTACTAAATAGACATTTTGAAGAGGATTAATATATTAAATGATAAAATGTAGCTTGCAAACACTTGGGAACATAGCAAACCTTATGGTATTAATAGAACACACATTGGTATATTTTTTCATTAAGCTACAAACTTCTTGCCCATCCAACTGTTGATAAACATTTGAGTAATAGAACACACATTGGTATTAATAACAGGTATATTGATTAGTGTAGAAATATGCTATTATTTGCCTATATCAATGTATTTGTTTGCTAAAATTTTATACCACAGTATGTACTTGATAGACATTTTTAAGATGGTGATACGTTAAATTAATTAAAAAATGTAGTTGATAAACATTTGGGAACATAACAAACCTTGTGGTACTATACTACAAATTTCTTACCCATCCAAGTGTTGATAAGCATTTGAGTAAATAGAGCACATATTGGTATTACTACTAGGTATTTCAATATGTCTAGAAAATACGCAGTTATTGGCACATATCAATGTATTTGTTTGCTAAAATTTGATTCCACCATATTTACTTGATACGCATTTTGAAGAAAATTGATACATTAAATTAATTAAAAAACATAGTTGACAAACACTTTCAGGAACATAGCAAACCTTGTGATATTAAGCTACAAACTTCTTGTTCATCCAAGTGTTAACAAACATTTGGGAAAATAGAACACATATTAGTACTAATACAATAGTACCAAGTATGTCGATCTGTTTAGAAAATACGTTGTTATTAAACCATGACAACGTATTTGTTTGCTAAAATTTGGTTCCGCCATATGTACTTGATAAACATTTTAAAGAGGGTTGATACATTAAATTAATGAAAAAAAAATGTAATTGACATACACTAAGGAACATAGGAAACCTTGTGGTACTAATCTACAAACTTCTTGCCCATCCAAGTATTGAAAAACATTTGAGAAAATAGAACACATAATGGTATTTCCATTAAGTACACCGATCCGTGTATAAAATACATTGTTATTGGCCCATATTAACGTATTTGATTGCTAAATTTTGGTTCCATGATATGTACTTGATAGACCTTTTGAAGAGAGTTGATACATTAAATTAATTGAAAACTGTAGCTATCAAATACTTGGGAACATAGCAAACCTTCTGGTACTAAGCTACAAACTTCTTGCCCATCCAAGTGTTTATAAACATTTGAGAAAATATAACACATGTTGGTATTACTACCAAGTACACTGACCTATCTAGAAAATACGTTATTATTGGCCCATACCAACGTATTTATTTGCTAAAATTTGGTCCACTGTATTTACTTAATAGACATTTTGAAGAGTGTTGATATACTAAATTAATGAAAAAAATGTAGTTGGCAAACACTTGGGAATAACAAACCTTGTGGGTGTACCTGGTAGTAATGTCTAGACTAATTTTTTAGAAGCGCAAGGTGTAGGGGTCAACTTATGCCTGAGGCACAAGGCACAAGGCGAGGCATGCACCTTTTTAAGCAAGATGCAAAAAAAAAAAAAAAAAAAAACTAAAAGATCAAAAAAATGTCAAATAAAAAAAATGCCAAAGAATTCAAAAAATGCAAAAAGAATAAAAAAAATATTAAACATAATTTAATAAAAATATAAACTTAAATTTTAAAATAAATGTTTTAAAAAACCTATTATCTAAAATTAAAATACATAAATATAACATGTAAAGCATATTCAAATGAGAATTTAAAAATAAAATCAAATATATAAAACATTTTCAAGCATATAAAACCCACAATCTTTTTTTTCTCAACTGCATTACGTCAAGTAGCTAAAATATATTACATTCCTAACTCTCTGAGTCGCCTTTGTGCCACATCCCTTGAGACAAGGGGTGGCATGGGGTTCTAGAGCTGGAGCCCCCGACCCAACCGCTAGACACAAAAAAAGGTGCACGCCTGGGCTGAGGCGCAAGGCGCACCAGGCATGCACCTTTTAAAAGGGTTGTGCCTAGGACCTAGGCAAGTGCATACCCTAAAATGCACCTCGCCTATGCGCCTAGGTGTGCCTCAGGCACGCCTTTTAAATCACTAGTAATTTTTATCAAGTACATAGTGTGGAACCAAATTTTAGCAAACAAATAAGCTGATATGGGCCAATAATAGCGTATTATGTAGATAGATCAACGTACCTAGTAGTAATACCAATATGCGTTTTATTTTCTCAAATGTTTATCAACACTTGGATGGGTAAGAAGTGTGTAGCTTAGTATCATAAGGTTTGTTATGTTCTCAAATGTTTAACTGGCTACATTTTTTCATGAAATTAGTGTATCAACCTTCTTGAAAATGTCTATCAAGTACATATCGTGGAACCAAATTTTAGCAAACAAATATGTTGATATGCACCAATAACAATGTATTTTTAGACAGATTGGCGTAGTTGGTAGTAATACCAATATGTGCTCTATTTTTTCAATTGTTTATCAATACTTGGATAGGCTAGAAGTTTGTAGCTTATCACAAGGCTTGCTATGTTGCCAAGTTTTTCGAGCTACATTTATTTATTTTGAAAAAAAAAATTGAACTTTCCTTAAATTCCAATGCATTTACTCGACTTGTGGGGCTTGACTATTCAACTCCCACATAAGGTGAAGAGGAAGCTCCTTTTCCCTCATCACCCTCTCTTCCTCTATGTATGTTCACCCTGGCCAGATCAGCATTGTCTTCCTACTTGCGACAATGAAGCCAGAGTGTCACCTCTACTCTTGTCACCAGCCATATCTTCCTCAGTCCATCAACACAGAGAGCCAATGATCTTGGAATATCCTCAAGTTTCACACAATATCCTAGCTCTCACCGTATGCAGATCACTCGTATCAAAACTTTCAAGGATCTCACCCAGGGTTCTAACAATCCTGGTAAGATTGTTCCATTCCACAAGTTGAAAGGAAGCCCCAACAGTTTAACTATGAAGCTTTCTTTTGCAATTTCAACTTCATTGCATGACATGCGCCACCTCTTTACGATGATGCCCTTTCTCTGTTTCTACCAAAGCTAGTTCAACCTCTGTAAGACCCACATCCAATTTTGCCCTTATCTCGCTAAAAGGAGTCACCAATGCTTCAGAGTTAATTTTTAATTTCTCTACTACTATTTCCGACACAGTTCTAATCATGTTCTTTCCAGTTAATAATATGAGACTCTATTCCCAAATGTCTTTTTTCACCTCCAATCCTAACCTATTTATTTTTGTTGAGTTGCTAATTGTGATCTCTGTTAGGCTCAAATATCAGCATTTGAATCAATTTCTTTCTTGTTTGATGTCGATACCATTTTCGAGTCAATATTTCTATCACCTCTTTCGACAACTTTACTCTCCCCTCTTTTCTCATTTTTTTTTATTTAGAAGCATGGAGCCTTGGAGTTTGTCTGCAAACACCCTCCAACCAGCATTCATCTTTCTTTCCAGTAGGCATATCAACTGCTTTTTTTCCCCTTTTCCAAAGGATTATAAGACCTCTATGAGCCATCCTCTACTGTTCCATTTTAGGATGGCTTCAAAGAACTTCCTTGCCACTGACAGTCGACTCTTCCATCCAGTCTATTGACTCTATTTCACAAAGTATATCGATCCCTCAATGAATCCTTTCAACCAAAGAATTGAGTCTTGTTCTAGGATCATGATTGCTCTCTTCCCCTCTCTCACCTTCAATGCCCATTTACCAACCAAGCCATGCCTTGGAACCAGACTTATTGTCTTGACCCAATGAATCACCTTAACAATTATTGTTTCAATGATGACAACTTTACTTCTTTCTCTTTCAGAGAAGATTCTTTGATTTCTTTCCTCCCAAACTATCCAAGAAATAGCTGCTCTTACACATCTCCACAGAATTTTACCTCTCCTCTTTGATCCTCTAACAGAAATGAAGGTAAACAAGCTCTGCACATTGGGTGGGGGTGGGGGGGATCCACCTGCAACCAAATAGAGAGAAAACCAACTCCAGATCTGAGAAATAAAAGGTCATGAGATTAATAAGTGATAGCAACTCTCACCATTATCCTTACATAAGAAGCACCAGTGCGGGGACAAACACCAATTAGGCCTTTTTCTTTGAAACAAATAGCAAGTGTTACTTTTTTCTAAGAAAGCTTCTAAACAAAAGGCACCTATTCTGGGAGGAATTGGCTTACCCCAAACTTCCAAAACTGGGTAAGGTTGCCCACACCAGCAATTATTGCCAGACATTCGATTTTTATTTATTTATTCAGTAACTATTGGGGGCATTGCAACATCCTGACCTCAAGATAGGCAGTGGAAAATGACTAACATTCATTTTCCACTGCCTTAAGGATAGAAAAAGAAAAGGTCACAAAAATAATTGCTAAGACAAAACAAGAGCAGAACTACATCAGCAACAATAGATTAAGAAACTTATAAGAAAAACGCAATTGGCAATTTGGAATGTACCTGCAGTTGTACAACAGTATTCAATTGATGAAGTTACTGGATCCAATTCCTGTGCAAGTTGAAAAATTATGAAAACCATCACAAAAATCTGAAACTTATTTAATGTAGGACAGAATAACCGTTCTATAAATAAAAGAGGGCACAGAAAAAAAAAATGTCACATGAAGATTCTGGTTTCTGGTATATTGAACAAAGCTTATTCTAACAAGAGAGCAAATATAGAGAATAACTTTGTTGAACACTATGCCATAGTTCAAAGGTATTTTTTTGGTAGCCTAGTTCAAAGGTAATTAAAGAAACCTATAGAAGAGAACAACCATACATTAAACTACTGAAAATATATATATTTTTGCTTGTAGGGAGCATAACTAGAAAAAAGATTAATACAATTATCAAGCATTCGAGCCCTTTATGGATGCTAGGACAAAAGGGAAACAAGAAAAAATGCAATCAACTCTAATGGTACATTCCAGAAACCATACTACCCAAAATGATGAGGTCCCCATAAAGCTCAGAGCCTCAGACCTCCCTACCAGTTCCAGCCAACCAATCCAGAAAATAATTACTTTTCGACACTCCACAGAGAAACCATGATCCACTACATCATGTAGTAAAAATAATCTTCACCAGCCAACTGACAGAATGATGCTGGTTTAATTTAAACTTGACTATTCTTGCACACCTTTATCAAGATGAACACAGCACTGTCCAGGAAATTTTAGTCAATCATGCCTACATGATGGCTCTATTTATGATAACCAAGTCCATAAAATAAGCATAGGAATTTTTTTATTTTTGATAAATGGTAAGGAGCTTGTCTTAATATTCAAGTAAAAGTTGGGCAAGAAACCCTCCAAAAATGTGGGGACTCTATATATGCACAGATCATATACATTCAGATCCTATAAAAAAGAAACTCAAAAAATGGACAGCCAATAATCAGTAGGAATTATTGGGTAGAGATCTCTTTCTTAAGATAAATATTGTCCTACCACCTTTTCAGCATTTTTAGATAAACCCAAATAATAAATATGCCACAAATTAAACAAGAAGAATCTACTGATCTACACTTGCCATCAAGAAAACAAGACTCAGATTCTCTCTGTCTTCCACCAAAAAATTATATATATATATGTGTGTGTGTGTGTGTGTATCTGTGTGTGCATTGTCTTAAGATAGAAACTCACGTACAGCATGAAGCCTTGCAATTTTTGTATTCTTCTCCACAGCATCGATGCCCACTACAGTAGCTCCCATGCGAGCCAAAGGCTGTATAAACATAACAAAACATTATTAGAAGATTACATCCAAGATCCACACAAATAGCTTAAACATGATTTTAAAAATAAATGAGAGAAAGCGAGGTGAGGCCAATGTTTACACATTATCATAGCATATGTTCATATATACCATCCCATATCAGTTAATTTAATTTCTTTCAATGACACCATATTCTTTTCAGATATATGTACACATATTCTTGGAGAAAAAGAACATTTAACTGAAATGTAAGCACATCCACTAGAGGTATATATAAATGTCTTCTTTCAGACAGCAAAACTTTCAACAATTAAGTTCCATTTGATCCAGTGTTCTGATTTTACTTCCAGCCATGAAGGGAATAAGAAGCATTTACTTTGGCTAGCCTAAAAGAGGGTCAGCCTGCTTCAGACATAATATTCTTTTATTTTATCGACAATGCTTCCAACATTACCAGTAAAAAATAAATAAAGCTCGCAATTTATTTTTAGTGACAGAAAAAATCGAAAAGAAAGGAGAAGAAAAATGACCATTATAAAGCAACTCCAAAAGGCTAGACCCTTCTTAGGGAAGTATAGAAGCTCAATACCAAAGAATATGTAGGACTAGCATGCAGGATTGCCATTGTTTACATTATCTGCTTTTCTTGTCTTTGCAATAGGGCAACTTCAAAGGTCCTAATCCAACTTGTATTATAAACATCTAGTCCAACTTCAAAAGGTCCTCTTCTCTATTCTGCTCTTCCTCCTCTATCAATCCTTTTGTCTTCGCTCAAGCTTAACAAATATTCTTTTAGCTGCTTCTTCTCTCCCTATGTAGAACACACCCATCACCTTTCTATCTCTATTTCTCTATCAATCACCTTACTTAGCATCCCATTTTTATTCACTTTTCTTACCTCATAAAAAAATACTGCTTAATCTTCATTCTCCTCTGTCGAGTCTTCTTATTAGAAGAAAAAACAGTAGAAAAAATAAGAGAAAAGAAGAGAGAAAGAGAGAAGAAAGAAGGGAGAAGAGAGGAGAAAGAGTTACGAACTCCAATAGATCTGCGGCACCAGATTTTATTAATATATATAGAGCAACTATTAAAAGACACCAAAAAGACAAATTTTCCCTTGCATCACTTATAGTACATAAAACAATCTATTAACCCCCCCCCCCTCAAGTTGGGACATAGATGTCAATCATGCCCAACTTGTCACACAAATCGTTATGCCACAAGTGGTAGAGACCCTTGGTGAAGATATCGACAAGTTGTTCTTCTGAGCTGACATAGGGAGTGCACACTTCTCCACTGACAAGTTTCTCTCTAATAAAATACTTGTCCACTACAATATGTTTTGTCTTGACATGGAGGACCGGATTGGCTACAATGTTGATGGCAGCTTTGTTGTCACAATAGAGAGGCATAGCATTGTTAACTGGAAAACCCAATTCACGTAACAGGTTCTTTTATCTGCATGATTTCAGCAACTCCATGGGACATAACTTTGTATTCTACTTTAGCACTGAATCTGGCCACCACACTTTGTTTTTTACTTCTCAAGATGACTAGTTTCCTCCCACAAAAGTAAAATATCCATTGGTAGACTTTTTGTCATCAACTGCCCCTGCCCAATCAACATTTGTATGCACCTTAACTTTCAAATGCCCATGCTTCTGGAATAACAAACCAGCCCCTAGGAACTTATTAAGGTATCTAAGAATCCTCTCTGCAGCTTCAAAGTGTATAGTCTTGGGGTTATGCATGAATGGACTGAGGACACCCACAGCATAAGCAATGTCAGGTCTAGTCATGGACAGATATAAGTCTTCCTACAAGTCTTTAGTTCTTCAATCTTTTATAGCCTCCCCCTAACTGCCACCCAACTAATGATTAGGGTCAATGGGTGAATCCATAGTTGTCAAGGCGGCGCCTAGGTGACTAGGTGCTTTTCAAAAAGCGCCTCGCCCAAATGCCAAGAAAAAACATATTAGGCGCATGCTTAGGAGACTGAAACACATATATAATATACAAAATTTATTAAATAAAATAAATATAAAATATATAATATTTTATTGGTTGGTTTTAGTTTTTATAATAGGACATGTTGCATGTTATCATGTTTTTGTTGTAAGTAAAAACAAAATAATCTCAAGGGTTTCACTTTGACAAAAAAATCGAACTGAGGAAGAGGAGAGAACAACAGCCCTCCATCGTTCCGACACAGTCCTCTAAGTCAAGGTGAATTAATCAGTTTCCTCCATTTTGTTCTCTTTTTTCCACTGGTTTAAAACAATGGTTACACCCATTTTTCTCCACTTCCTTTTTGTTGGACTAAAACCATTCTCCTTTCCTGGTTTGAATCATATTGTTGGACTAAAACAGGGGCTCCGCCCCCTTCTTTTGTTCTTAAATTTCTTGCGTGTTTTCAGCTTTTTTCCCTCATTATTGGTGTCTGAAAAAGGAGCTCCACCCCTTCTTTTATTCACCATATTGTTCTTTTATTTCAGTTTTTTTTTTTTCACCAGCTTTTTTGGGTCAATAACAGAGGCTCTGCCCCCTTCTTTTGTTCTTAACTTCTTGCATTTTTCAGCTTTTTTTTGTTTTCATTATTGGTGTTTGAAACAGGGGCGGAGCCCCTTCTTTTCTTCTTTATATTTTTTCTTTTATTCTAATATTTTTTTACCAGCTCTTCTAGGTCTAGAACAGGGGCTCCGCCCCTTACTTTTCTTCTTCATTTCTTCTTTTATTTTAGTAATTGTTCTCATTAAGAAACACTGCAAGAAACACAAGCACAAAAGTGCAGAATACATAAAACCATAAAAACTAGTTCAGAAGGGGTAGAAACCATCGGCTTCTTATTTTTAAATTCCATCCCCTAGGCGCCTGGGCGCCCCATGGTCACCTAGCATCGCCTTGGTGCCTTGAAAACTATGGGTGAATCAATTGGTTTCACCCCTAACTTGCCTATGTCCTCTAATAGATCTACAACATAATTCCTTTGGGAAATAAAGATGCCCTTTTGAGAGTGGGCAACTTCAATCCCAAGGAAATAATGTAAGGAACCCAGATCTTTACCATTATGCCATCCACATATACTATTAGAGTTGCAATTTTCCCTTTCCCTCTCTTTACAAACAAAGTATGATCTTACTAACATTGTTTAAACTCCACCTGTTGTACAGCCAAATGAAACTTACCAAACCAGGCCTGAGGTGACTGCTTCAATACATATAATGATTTTTTAACCTGTAGACCTTCTACCCACTATCTTTGGCACAAAAACCAGAGGTTTGAGTCATATACACCTCTTCTAGATCACCATTCAAAAAAGTATTTTTAATGTCCAATTGGTGAAGATCCCAATCAAGATTAGCTGACAGTGAAAGGAGAATCCTAATAGAGTTCATCTTGGCTACTGGGGTGAAGGTCTCTGCATAGTCCACTCAATACACATGTGTAAACCTTTTTGCCACCAGTCTGGCTTTGTATATTTCTACCGTACCATCAGCCCTATGCTTCATTGTGAAGTATGAATACCCCACTTACATCCTACTAGTTCTTTTCCTTCAAGAAGATCTACCAACTCCCAAGTGCCATTCTTGTGCAAGGCATTAATATCTTCCTTCATTCCATCTGTCAATTCAGGTATGGATAAATCTTTTGCCACATTCTTAGGAACATAAATGTTAATGGAGAAAAGAAAAGCATGATATAAAGGTCAAATATGATCATAAGAAACAAAGTGGGAGATAAGGTGATTAGTAGTACAAGACCTAACACCCTTTCTCTTAGCAATAGGAACATCAAGATCATCAATAGAAGGAGAATCAATATCAAGAGGGTCAGGCATATCAATAGGAACAAGTGTACCTAGTTAAGGAGGTTGCCTTTGGAGAGTCTAATGATGTTGACAGCATAGTTTCAGGCTCCACGGCTCTTGAACTATGCTGGTCCTTGTGGCGACAAAGAAAAGCATGAAATAGAGGAGGTAGTTGAACCTAGTTGTGTTTCTCCTCAACCCTACTCTCCCCCTAAGGAGAAACGGGAAAAAAATGTTCACTCTCGAAAAAGGATACATCTATGGAAACATAGTACTTACGGGAAGCAGGATCAAAGCATTGATACCCCTTTTGAGATAAAGGGTAACCTAGAAAGACACAAGGGATAGCACAAGGGTCAAGCTTACCACGAGCAGGAGACAAGTCATGAATGAAGCAACAACATCCAAAGACACACATTGGGGTAGAGAACAAAGGGACATTAGGAAACAAAAGTTGATGTGGGGCATTACACTCTAGCAACCGAGATGGCATACAGTGTTATGGGCCCGCGCGTAGGCATGAGGTGTTATGGGCCCGCGCGTAGGATCAGATTGTCAATAACAATCTGATTTCCTATAAGATCTTCTTTCTCCACCTCCAAACAGGTGAAGACCAAATATATGTCAACAACTTTATGCTTGAATATTTTCATCTGATATCGAGCACTTTAAGGCTTCACCTCCCTCTCTTGTTGCCTCATTCCTTTCTTACACACCATCACTAATACCAAATCCAATTGATTGTGCTTGAAAGAGAAGACAGTTCCATTCTCTGTATCTTGTGGAATTTGAAAGTAGATTAACAAGAATTTTTTTATAAAGTTCACTTGTCAACTCCATGAAAATGCATGACCGTCTATTTGATGACGATGATTGGAACTCTAGTTTGAAGGAATTCAAAGAAGTTCAATAGAGCAGATATGGGAAAGGCTTCGTCCTTTTTTTTTTTTTTTTTTTTGAACAAAGATTACTTTCATTGCAAAAAGATAGGGGAAGCATGTAGATGAAGAGATGTACACAACATTCGGCCAAAAAGCCAAAAACAAAAGCAACACAAGAAAACAACCCTCAACATTTATACAGGCAATGTAATATCACAATACAAAGCATCCCTTCGCACCCTAGATTTAGCTAAATCATCCGCCACACCATTGAGTTCCCGAGGTACCCATCTAAAATAACAATAGAGGTCAGAGGTGATTTCCTTAACCTCACTGAAGAAACTGTTAAATCTCCAAGGGTCATCCTCCTGATTGTTCATCCAATGGATCACCAACTTTGAGACTCCTTCCACCACTACCGAGGTAATGTTAAGAGCCATCACAAATCTCAGTCCAATCAATAAGGAACGGACTTCTGCTTCAACAGCCTCCGCCTCCCCAATTGAACCACCAAAAGCCCAAACCAGGTCATCATTGAACTTTAAAATGCAGCCCCTAATCCCAGCCTGTCCCCTATGGCTTAACGTCCTTCTGCACCTCCCATCAAACTGTAAAAGAAATTCAGGAGGCCTTGGAGATAAAATGGGACTGTTGGAATCTATCCCACCAGAAGACCTCAAGACTTCCCTCAAGTTTCTCTCCAAGTCCCCAAAAGAAATACTTCTGAACTGGATTCTTCCTTTCAGCTCTTCTAAGATTGACATCTTACCTTCAAAAATTCTCTTGTTGCGCTCATCCCAAATGCACCACATAACAGCACGAACCGCTGCTTTCCCAAAGATAATGTCTCTCTTGCCTAACTTGCATCCAGGCCATTGGTTAAGAAAATCCTCAACTGAATTAAGAGGTACCCAATGGTAACTGCTATAAAGATCAAGAAAAAACTGCCAAATAATGCAGGCTATCACACAGTTGATCAAAAGATGGCCAGAAGATTCCCCATCCTTCATGCATATGACACAAATACGAGGAGCAATATACAAATGACCCTTCCTCTTCCTTAGAATCTTGTCAAATGTGTTGATGCAGCAACAAGAAGCCTCCCAAACAAAGCACACTCCAAAAGGTACCACAGAGAGCCAAATCTTTTTGCTAGGGAAAGAGGGAATGTTGTCAAATGGCCCTTCCTTAGAATCCTGTCAAATGTGTTGATGCAGCAACAAACAGCCTCCCAAACAAAGAACCACACTTTAAGAGGCACCACAGAGACCCAAATCTTTCTTCCCTAACTTGGTGGCAGGCAAATATGGGAATGATTGGGAAGCCTTAATAATGCTTAACTCCCATAATTTTGTAAATGTTGTTCACCATGCATTTTTCATGTAGATCAGGAAAAAAACATGTACTCTTTGCAAAAGTTTCGTGGAGACAATCTCGTAATGTGTATCCCCTTCTAAAGAAATTTGAAGAGAGAGAGAGAGAGCAATTAGAATTCATAGGATGCATACCTCCGACAGAATCCCACCTCCACAACCAACATCCACAATTCTTAGTCCCTCAAAAGGCTTGGCAGAAGATGGATCCTTTCTGAAATGAATGTAAGAATATTAGTATTTAAAATCTCAAGCAATAACCTCTATTTTTAGTTGACTTGTATAAATGTCTTTGCATATTTTCATGGTTAAATGGAATAATTTGAGTTTTCATAGTCATATCAGTTTAAGTGAAGCCATTTTTATGAAATCAACAGCAATTTGTATTAATTATCATAAAAGAGACCTGACCTACCTAACAGGCAGAAGGCACAGTACAAAGAAACAGAAAAGAGCTGACAATACTTTATTAAAATCATAAAAATCAGATTACAAAAGAGCCCCTGGACCTGGCATCCCCAATTACACCCGTGTAGCAACACCTGCCCTGGCTAAACCATCAACTAAGAAATTGACAGATCTGGGAATCCACCTGAACAAGCAGTTTAGAATTCTACCAAAAAAAAACAAGGGTTCCCTAACCAATGATCTGAGTCTCCATGGAGGGTCCCTCCCCTGAGTTGAAACATGTAATGACCACATTACAGTTCCCATCAATGAGCGTGACCCTCTAATTCTGTAAGGCAATCAATTAAGACCTTGGATTAGAGCCTTCAACTCTCTGTGGTCTATCAACAGCAGAATTCAATATAATATGCCAGAATTCTTCACATACCATTATTCAATGAGCAATTCTTCACATACCACACTTTACTCTTTACTTTCAAACAGACCTGCATTTCTCTCCCCCCACAATACACCATGAGATTTTTTTTTTGAAGAATAAAGATAAATTCATTAAAAGAAAAAGAGAATACAAGAGAAAGGTGATAAGAAATCACCCAAGAGAAAGCAACAGACACAAACACGAACTCACTACCTTTGACACTAGATTACAGCCAAACAACACAAAAACAAAAAGCACACTTCCGGACACCTTCAACCAACTCCTTGAACTGCAGAACCCCTGACATAATCTCCCTATTCCTCGCCCTTGAACACTCCATGCTGCCGATCAACATCCTCATCCCACTTCTTTCTTCCCTCCTCAATTACTACTTTCTTCAAACTCTCTTCCTTCCTCTTTCTCTCGAACTCCGCAAAGGCCTTCATAGCAAAAGCAACTTCATTCTTTTGGGGTAGCACCCCAACAAATCTTGTGAGAACAAGTCCAAGATAATTGCGAGGCATTCCAACTCTTGCCAAAAGAGAAAAGAAATGATTCCAAACTCTACAAGGGAAAGGGCAAGAGAAAAAAAAAGATGATTGGGACTTTCTCTGCTCTTGAGACATAGAATGCACACATGTGAGGACAAGCACCAATTTTTCCTTTTTTTGGAGGCAATCACATGTGTTGAACTGTTGATTATTTGAAGAGAGGCCTCCCTACAGAAAAAAACTAATTTAGGGGGGTATGGACCAATCCACAAAGAATTCCAAGGAAAATGAAAGGGGTGATAAAGTGGCAGATTCTACAACTCTAACAAAAGAGGAAACTGGAAGAACAGCCAGACAACTAGGAGCCCACACCCTCTCATCTGAACCCAAGAAAGGAAGAAATAAACTGTTCAAACTGGATATAAGGTTAACAGATTCTTCCATTTCTCTCTAAGCAAACCTCTTCTAAAACCCAAGTTCTAGGCGATGCTACCTTGAATAGAAAATATCACATCAGAGATGGGTTTGTTTTTAGTCAAAGAAATGTTATATATAGCCGAGGGTAGAGACTGCAAAAAGGGGATTCTCCCCACCATAGATCCTCGCAAAATAACACCTTGTTCCCCACTTGTGGATCATATCTAATGAAACAAGAGAAAGTCAGCAATATAGTCAAAAATAACTTTTTTTTTTTGAGAAACAGTAAAGTATAATTGTATTAGTATGAACAAAAAATGTACAGCAAGATGATGTACTAAGGAAACAAGAAAAAACTGTTCCCTCTAACCTTGATCCCCACCCTGCTTTACAAAAAGATCATCCTGTACATAAAAGGATTCAAAACCTACACCCTTAAACAACCAGTGACCAGACAACCAAGAGAACATCTTCCCCACAATTTTCTGAAAAATGGAATCAACAGAACTTATCTTGCTCTTGAAGATGGCTTTCAGGCTTTTGGTGACATCTTATCACCTTCTGCTGCACTTCTTTTTTATTCTAATGAATTTTCTCTTTATCTTCAAAAAGAAATCTTGCTCTTGAAAATGTGTGCATTTCTTACCAAAGGCACCAGAATACCACTGTTGGTGTTATAAGCAAAATAGTCAAAATAGCTTTTCAAGGATACCTCGAAGTAAGATTTCTGGGGGGCCCAGAATCCCACCCATTGGAATCCATGCCATAAATACTCCTGATCATCAAAGGCCACAAAGCCCCACTCTCCTTAGGAAACCTCCACAGTCATTTCCCCAATAAAGCAATATTTTTTTTCTTCCAAACTCCCAATTCCCAACCCACCTAATTCCTTACCTTAGGTAACATTGTTTTTTGAGAAAAGGTAAAGTACATTGTATTGTATTAGTGTCAAAACCTTTTTCTTTTCTTTTCTTTTTTTTTTTGTTGAGAAGAGGTAAAGTACCAATTCATTAGAATAGAAAAAAAAAAAAAAAAAGACCCATGTACAACCAAAGGCTATACAATGGGAGAATACATAATACATTAGACCACTATCCCATTCGTGTTTACTAAAAGGTTTTCATACTGAATGAGAGAATTAAGGAAAGCACTATCTATGGCTAGCTGTGCAGATGACCAGGATAACAGCTTCCCAACTATTTTCTGCCACATTTCCTCCTCTTGACAGCCTTTGCTTCGAAAAATCCTTGAGTTTCTTTCCTGCCATATCAACCAGAAAACTGCTCCTGGGACCAATTGCCATAGAATTTTCCCTTCCTTACTCAAACCTTGAGGTCCACCAACCTTTTACAAAAAGCTTCTGCTGATGCTGGGTAGCAACTTTTGATGGCAAAGATTCTGAAGATTTTCACCCAAATGTTGTAGGTGAAACTGCAATGCAGCAACAGGTGGTCACCTGATTCTTCTACTCTGTTACATAACACACGTTCAGGTGAAACAATAACCATTTCCCTCCTAATCAGGTTGTTTTTTGTAAGAATCTTGTTCAGACAGGCAGACCAAACAAAGAAAGCCACTTTTGAAGGGATATGCTTGCTCCAGATTGCATACCAAGGGAAATCCTGCTCGTTCTTTTGAGCCAGTTTACTATAAAACGATTTTACTGTGAAAAGACCCTTGCTATCCGCTGACCACACCCTTCTGTCCTCTGTGTTAAAATCAATTTACATGCTGTACAGATTCCAAAAGGTTCAATTGGAGTAGCTTTCCAAAAGGTTCAATCTCCCAATCATTCAATGCTCTTCTAAACTGCGGGCTCCGGAGTCCAGACACGATCCCCATTTTGAAAGTGCACACAATCAGCCACTTTTGCCTCCACATCAACTGTGATTGCAAAGAATTCTGGGAAATCATCCTTTAACAAATTGTTTCCACACAAGCAATCCATCCAGAATCTAAATCTGGTTCCTCTCCCTACTTCATACATGATTTCCTTGCTAACAAAACTGTAGCTCTTTTCAATTCCTTTCCAAACCGAGCAACCCAACAACTGATTTGCTTCTCCTGGACCCCACTTCTCATTTCTTATACTGTATTTTGCTTGAATTACTCTTTTCCATAGACAACTCCCTTGCTGTCCAAACCTCCAGAACCAGTTGCCAAGCAATGCTAAGTTCAATTCTCAAAGTCTTCTTATACCCAATCCCACATTCTTCTTTTGTTTACACACCTTTCCCCAGTTGACCAAATGAACCTTTGGTGACATTTTTCCATTTTGTCAAGTGGTCTTTTTTCTCATTTCCTGGATCCCATAGGAAATCCCTGATAATTTTTTCTATTCTCTTTAAGACCTTCACAAGATCTTTAAAGAGGTATTCACAAGATCTTTAAAAAAGGTGGATTTAATTAGAATTACCTACAACCCCTAGAAATGTATTTCTTTTTCCAGGTTGCCAGTTTTTTAGCAAACCTTTAAATGACCTTTCTCCTGAAAAGTCACATCCCTAGGCACACCCCCAAAAGCAACCCAAAGTATTCAATTGGCCAGTTCTTAACCACACACTCAAAGAACTAGCACACTCCTTATCTCTCTAGGATCAAGATGAAGCCCCACCAGATTGCATTTAGAACAATTGATGAACTCCCACCAGTTCTTAACCATACAACTCAAAGAACTAGCACACTCCTATACCTCTCAAGGATCCCTTTCAAATTGCCAATATTAGGGTTGCAACTCGGGTTGGCCCAAGTTAACATTTTACACTGCTTTGGGCTTGGGTTTCAGGTCAGGCCCATTCAAATTTTGACAAAAATCCCAACCCTAACCCACCCAAGCTGCACCCCTAGCCAATATCTTGAATGCTTCTAATTCCCATTAGATGATGGTATCATCCACAAACTTTACATGATAGACCACCGTCCCCTCCCTACCCACTTTAAATGTTATGGGCCCGGGCGTAGGATCTCGCCACGGAGCGGTTTGCTGGGAAAACTCCTTGCCTTTCCCTTGCCTTCCCTTTGCGAGTTGACCCTATGATGGCGGACTGAGGGGTGATTTGTTCAAGAAATCACCTAACTCTCCTTGTTCTCTTCTTGACTGAAAATTCAATGCCTTTATTGAATAAATCAGCTCCTTAAATAGGAGATTACARGAGGGTTTCCTTCTTGTATTTGGCTAAGGTAGTCCCTCTCTTATCGCAACTTAAACTTCTATCGAAACTCAAACTCCTACTTCTAAGGGAAACACAAAAATAGGGGATAAGGGAAAGGTACAGCTAGCATGTGGGCCCTGCTCTACGTTGGTGTGCGCGACCCACCTTGCTGCTGCTGTGAAGTGCCTGCTGTTGCCGTGTGGTGTGTGCCGCTGCTGTGCGGTGCGTGCTGCTGCCGAGTGCTGCTGCCGTGCGGTGCATGCTGCTGCCGGGCGGCTGGCAGACTGTACCGCGGCGCGCTGCCGGGCGGTGCGTGCCGCCTATGCCG